TGACTCAAATTGGAAGTAAATTATGCTGTGATACAAGCTGCGGCAGCCGTAGATCGGGAGAGCTCGCGCTTCACGCATCTGTCTTCATGTACTGCTAGGACACACCCCTTTATTTTATTTTTTGAATGTTTACAGACATATTGGGGATCAGAGTGTAAGATGACTTTTGGAGATCCTTATATTTATATATATATATATATATATATATATATATATATATATATATATATATATATATATATATTGCTATAACCCTGTGTGAAATATTATTATTATTATTATTCTATATAAATAATTAAATAATAATAATATTTAACACAGGGTCGGAAATATTGCAAGATGCAAAAATATAATTTTTATTATATGCTGGGATTACAAACCTGCTAACTAAAAATCATAAAGTACTTGCTTACCAATATTTGCAAGGGTGTTGATGACATTATTAGCAATACAGCTTACTAATAATCTTTTTATTTATTAAAGGATTTTAAAAGAAGTCTGAGATGTATCACCTTTCCACATCTTGTTTATTCGGACAGATTTTTGTTCCTCTTCGAATTTGTCTCACTAACAAAGACTATTAGAGAGAATATTCTACGTGTTGTCTGCCTTACTTTCTACTTTTTAAAAACCACTGAAAACACAATACAGTGGAACTTCTCGGATCTTAAACTGAAAGGGGAACTAACGCGCAGGGATGTTATGCTATGCGGGTTATTAGAATACCCAGTGTGCCGTTTAGGTATGGTGCGTAGATAGTCATAAGCACAGTGGAGTGCGATGTGTTGGGGGGTTTTTAATGCAGGGGATGAATAATGTTGGTGTTTTAATACAGAGGTGGGTTTGTATGTAGCGTTAAGTTTTGAATGCAGGTATGTTGTTTTATGTAGTGTCAGCATTTGAAAAATTAGATATATGCATATATACACATGCACTGCCATACACACAATAATACACAGTCACACAAACACACACATTGACGCACATGCATATACACAGACACAGTAGATGTACTGACTCTCAGATACATGCACCAACAAACATACAGATATACAGACACACAGTTACACACACTAACACACTTGCAGATATACAGACACACAGATTCACACACTGACACACTTGCAGATATACAGACACACAGATTCACACACTGACACACATGCAGATATAGATTCAATGAGCTGAAGTGGTCTGGGTCAGACAAAAGAAAATATATAGGTCGCGCTATATGGTAGTGGAAATAGAAGTAAATATAAAATGTGATAAGACAAATATATAAAAACAGGGAAAAATGATCCCAATGCTAAAAAAGTCTTTAATGGAACCTTTAATGATACTGGAGTCTGGATAAAGTCCAAAAGTCCAAAGATTAGCTGGATCTTCTTGTGTTAACGGTATCTCAGTTCGATGATGGATATATGGACATGTAAAGAAAACAGAAAAAATCCAATAGTGCAGATGGTAATACAACAAATGGGTAGATAGGCAAATCTCATAACAGGTGATCCACTCACCTATTTCTGAGCATAAACTTGCTCGAGTGGTAATAACATTCAGTGGCGTTGATCCTCCACTGGTAGGATATAGGTGGCGAAAATAACTCCTCGGTATGTGGAGAGATGAAGAAACAATATAGTGCTCACTGAATGAGTGAAAGGAATAAAATAATAAGAGCAGTAAAATACTCACATATATATGAGCAGGATATACTGCTCACTTTAGTAGCGTAGGTGGTATTATCCCCACCTGGGATTCTTGAGCATATGCGTGTTCCAATATAGCAGGTACCAGGTTTCAAAAAATAAAAAATGATATTATATAGTAAAAAGATATATAAAGACTAAATATAGCTTTATTAATAATAACAGAGTAAATAAAATATAAATACAGCCAAAACGCGTTTCGCCTCACAGGGCTTTTTCAATTGGCAATAAGGAATTTTTATAGGTTGCTACTTCCCTATTTGTCTTTTAGCTTCTACGGTTTTTTTAGCGCTGTCCCATTACCCTGTTGTGAAGTGGTCTGGGTGCCTATAGTGTCACTTTAATCAATCATATCCTTATATTAATGAAAGCTGGAAAATTACAAATTTAGTAGCATTCCCAATTCAGAGTTATTGTCAGAGTCACTATTAAAGCATGAATTAACAGGAATTACAAATGAATTTCAAATTTGGGGTTAAATTAACCAAATCTGAAAACATGACTTTAAGTGTTTTTATATTGAATTAAATCAGTTTTGATTAATTTTGAATTCTTGACAATTCGCATTTTAGTGAATAAGCCTGCAGGATCTCATATCATCACATTTCACTGTTTTGGAAAATGTCCTGTGCTTATCCATTGAATTCTCACTTGCTGTGTATTTAATAGTAATAGTAGATTGTGATTTTATTTTTCACACTAATTGTGCAGTGCAGATAATTAAACACAATCTGACTGAAAATTCTATACTAATCTTCAAGAATTTCAAAAGGTATTTGAGTTTTAAGCCAGAAAGAAAAGGGCACAAATCGGGTCTTTCTTCAGATTTATTCAAACATTTCAACAGATCTGGTTTGTTGCTGTATGTAATTAAGGAGAAATGGTCACATCAAATTTTTTTTATACAATGTTGACTTATCCTCTATATTTATGAGGTATGAAAAAGTAAATGAAATTTAGAAATCCACATATCTTCATCCTGCAATTGGACACCTCCATCTTAGGCTCCCATCAATCATTATTACAAGCTTTGTACTACCATCTTTCCCTGAAAATAACACCAGGTCTAATATTAATTTGTCCCCCGAAAAACACACTAGGGTTTATTTTCGGGGGAGGTCTTATTTCAGGGAAAAAAGTGTGCTAGAAAGCAGGTCTATGTTCGGGGGAACATAGCTTCCCGAACATAGATTAGCTTACTTGCTAATAGAATACCGCAAATCTATGTTCAGGAAAACTTCCCCGAACATAGATAAGCTTATTTGTGAATGGAGTCTTGCATATCTATGTTTAGGGAAAATTCCCCGAACATAGATTAGCGAACGACTAGGGCTTATTTTCGGGGTAGGGGGTATATTAGGAGCATTCCTTCGAAAATAAGCTAGGGCTTATTTTTCCGGGAAACACGGTATGCATCTAGCAGTCAACATAGAGAAAACATACAGAGGAAAATTGAGACAATTTTTTCTATTTCTTCTCTACGTTTGCAGTGTTTGCCCTGGATGTGCTTTGTCTGAAGTTGATTATGATGTCATTTGTTGAATTTTTAAAATAAATTTAAATATATAACTCATAAAAAAGTTAACTCAAGTTATGGGCGATTTTCAATGTTTTGTTCAATGGTGTAAGTTCAGTTCCCCCTTTAAGAATTATTTTCTGTTAGTTCAATTTGCTGAAAATCTACTCCTTTCATAGATTCAGAATGGAAAGGAAAATATCAAACCACATGCATTAGAAACTTTTAACAAAATAATATAGATATTTTAATTCAATCAACAGCTGATGAAAAATGGTACATTCATTATTTTAATACCTTCTTGTAATGCAAATTTAATGCTGCCTTGCTCACTTTTTGTGGTATGGTAATGAGTCCTTCAGAATCTCTTGGCACTATAATTATAAACCTATATTGAAAATATTATGTTAAATTTCATTTATAACTGTTTAAATGTTAGAGTGTTTGCTTTCTTTAGTATTTGATGGGTTACAAACATAAATAAAAATGGTTTAGGGGAAATGATGAACTAATGAGCATTTAACAGAAGACTAATGCGCCATATAATGATTTAATGCTATGTTTCAGGCCTTTGACTATTCATTTAAATACTTTCACAGCAGTTGTCTGGCAAGATCATATTGGCTGTACCTACCACGATTTTACATATTCAGCTTAAATGTCTTTCAGTGTGTTTTCTCCCAGGGATTTACAGTGGGTAGGTACATTTCAACACCGTTTCTCAACCTGAATATTTAGCACTTGAGTGAAAAAATAAACAACATTTTTGAAGTTTAGCTGTCGTCAGTATATGGTGATGAAGGAACTTGCTCAAAAACAGAGGAAAAGTCTTCAGACTTACTTACTGCTTTCTTACTTCCAGAATAATCCCTCATTCTTCAACATCAACCTATGTAGACGAATCATAATCTACTAGAAATGAACTGAGGTGAAATACGTAACAATTCATGTCGGAGTTTCTCCGTTTAAATTCCCGGGTCTCCTGATTTATGGGAAAGGTTGAGATTGTCTTAAGCACATCTGAACATGAGATATGTGAAAAATACCCTTTGTATTTCTTTACATATATTACCGCAGGCTGGTGGAATGTATGAATAGAAAATACCCCTTAAGTCGGGATACGTCTGCAAAGACGCACCTTGTAAGGGAAGAACATAAGGTTACAACATCAATGAATTCATAATGCTTCACATATGAGACATTAGTTACATGAAAATGGAATATGACCTTGCTCAACATCTGATAAATATTATATTATTGATGGTCGTACGTCACTCTGTGCATTATTAAGCATAATGCTTTGGGCACTAAGTCATACTATTTTACATAATCGAGAGCTTCATATTATGCTAAATCAGCATTTTATTCAGAAACAGTGTTTGCTTTCATAGGTGTTGCTAAAGCAGGGCTTTGTTGGGTGAAGTCTGGATGTGGTACTCTTTTGCGCCAGACTTCTGGAGGATACAGTAGGCCAGGGATAGGCAACCTTCGGCACTCCAGAAGTTGTGGACTACATCCTCAATAATGCTCTTACACCCATAATGCTGGCAAAGCATTGTGGGAGGTGTAGTCCAAAACACCTAGAGTGCCGAAGGTTACCTATGCCTGCAGTAGGCTATTAGTGATTTTATTATTATTTCACATCATATCGTATTATTTTAAAAAGAAAAGATTATTAGTATATGTAACGGCACCCTCAGCATAAAAGGGTTAAACCGCCATTTAGGAGATCTTCCCCTTCCAGATATACAGGCACAGCTACTGCAGAACACCAAACTCCCGAACCGCATGTAAGGGAATGCTCCAAACTCCCGAACTGCATACAAAATAGCACTCCAAACTCCCGAACTGGAACCTCACGAATAGCTGCTAGCAGACGAATAGGAAAAGCACCCAAGCAGCTTACACTCCTAGCAATCAGTCTCTATCAGCATACAGTAAATCCCCCCAAGAACGAGACAGAGCTCCGTGTTGAGGGTCAAGCAGTGGTCTGTTTAATGAGGGCTACCTGCCCAGTATTTATGCAGGTCTCCCACCTAGTGGACACTCCCCTAGGGGACAAAATGGGAGACTGGGACACAAATAGTACAATGACCAATCACAGGCAGACATGGTTAAAACACTCCCCCAATACATTACAATCCCTCCCCTCTATCCTGGAGATAATTGGGAAGTAATCCAATTATCTTCAAGGACAGAGGCAAAACTCCATTACCCACATGGTTACAGTAAAATACTAAAACACAATAAAATACACAATATTACATTTATCACACAAAATATATACTTGCAACCCATCCCCAGATAGCTGGGATCTGAGCACACAAAAGTACCGAATAGCGCTCAGATCCTATGCACACAGTCCAATCGCCGTGGAGTCAAAGTGTTCACAAAGTCTGTTCTCCATACGAATAGACTCCACGGGATGGCTATCTGGGGTATGGTGTATTCAGGTACAAACTATCGAATATAGGGCCATTCGTGCACTTCTACCGAACAAGAAGGGAGGTCGGCAGCTTCAGCGGTGTTCGCGCCAAAATGTATCCGTTTTCAGTTCCATGAGTTGGGCGTCGAACACCACTGTGCGTTCGCGTGTTTAAAATGGCCGCGACCTCGTGTTCGTTATACGAATGGCGGCCACCCAGCATTTGTCAATTAAGCTGCAGTTAACCGCAGCTTCTGGGAGGTTAATTGCCGAGGCATTTGATACAGTTCCACACAATAGATTAGTGTTTAAACTCAAGGAAATCGGTCTAGATGAAAATGCTTGTTCTTGGGTAGAACATTGGCTTAAAAACAGAGTACAAAGAGTTGTCATTAATGGTAAATTTTCAAGCTGGACAGAGGTGGCAAGTGGTGTCCCTCAGGGGTCTGTTCTGGGACCCCTTCTATTTAACATGTTTATAAATGATCTTGAAGACCGCATTGAAAGTCATGTTTCAGTGTTTGCAGATGACACAAAACTTTGTAAAACAATACAATGTGAGCAAGATATTACTTTGCTGCAGAGGGATTTAGACAGACTGGGGGACTGGGCACTCAAATGGCAGATGAAATTTAATGTTGAAAAATGCAAAGTTATGCACTTCGGCGTAAATAATACACAAGCAACGTATACCCTTAATGGAAGCGAATTAGGGATAACAACACATGAAAAGGACTTGGGAATTGTTATAGACAACAAACTATGCAACAATGTGCAATGTCAATCAGCAGTGGCCAAGGCCAGTAAGGTATTGTCATGCATGAAAAAGGGCATTCATTCTCGGGACAAGAATATAATTTTGTCTCTTTATAAATCACTGGTAAGACCCCATATTGAATATGCTGTGCAATTTTGGGCACCTGTTCTAAAGAAGGATATTATGGCACTAGAAAAAGTGCAGAGGCGGGCTACAAAACTAATAAAAGGAATGGAACATATCGGCTATGAAGAAAGGTTAACAAATTTAAATCTTTTTAGTTTAGAAAAACATCGCCTGAGAGGGGATATGATAACATTATACAAATATATTCGGGGCCAATACAAACCATTGTGTGGAAATCTATTCACAAACCGGACTTTACATAGGACATGAGGCCATGCGTTTAGACTGGAAGAAAGAAGATTTCGTCTAAGGCAAAGGAAAGGTTTTTTTACTGTAAGAACAATCAGGATGTGGAATTCTCTGCCTGAAGAAGTGGTTTTATCAGAGTCCATACAGATGTTCAAACAGCTACTAGATGCATACTTGCAAAAACAGAATATTCAAGGATATAATCTTTCAATGTAGGGTAATAACTGCTTGATCCAAGGATAAATCTGACTGCCATTCTGGGGTCAAGAAGGAATTTTTTTCCTAGCTTGTTGCAAAATTGTGCTTCAAACTGGGTTTTTTTGCCTTCTTTTGGATCAACAGCAAAAAACAAATGTGAGGTAGGCTGAACTTGATGGACGCAAGTTTTTTTTCAGCTATGTAACTAACTATGTAACTCCAGCTCCCAGGTGGTCCAGTCATTCGTGTGTTAGTTCGGTAGATTGAATCTACTGAACACCGGGCAGAAAGGCACGAATAAGCCTTTTCTTCAGGGGAAAAAGAAGGCTTTTAACATGGGGCCATAATCCAAAGGCAACAGGCGAGCAACCAGGCTTCTCCAATGCAATGTGGCAAGATTGGTCTTGTCACATGTGACGGAATGCTGGCACTCTGACCGAGTACCTTCGCCAATCGATGCGCCTCGTGATCACTGAGGACTCCAAGCACTCCAACCGACACCATCAGCACTGCAGACCCCACTTCCAGCGATACAGCTGCGCCGGGGTCTCGCCATCTCCACCCACCCTGGATCCACGACCAGGATCCAGCTCCCAGTGGGTGAACCTCTCCTAAATCCAGAGAGTGTAGCAGGAACAAATCAAGCTATTGCAAGAGTTTACTCTGGGGAGTAAGTGATTATAGCAATCCCCAGAGGGTAGTTTTCCAATCCCCCAAACATGAGCCAAGGTTTAATGCTGGAACAAGACTTTACTGGAAGTAACAACAACAGGTATTCCAGCTACAGTTTCTTTTATGCCCTGCTCCCATGCAGGGGAGGGACACACACGTTATCTACGGTAGCCAATAAAACAGAGGTTACAGCCTCTGATTCAATTATCTTATACAATAGAAGATGCAATTATCAGAGGTAGGAAAAATACAGTTTTTACAGCATATTCCTAACTTCTAAAATATACATCACATTCACATAAATGTGAATAAATTATATATTCACAATCAATCCATTCAGGGAAACAACATATCAAAAAATGGCATGAATCAGACCAGGGGTTCAGAAGTTAGTAAATCTTTTGGGGCCTGGCTGGCAGCATGGCTATATGTCCCAAACCGGTTTTACAGAGCCCTCTATCCTGGAGACAATGGGGAAAATAATCCAATTATCCAGGGATAGAGGCAGACTCCATTGAGCACATGTTCCCAGTAAAACACAAAAGGATACAAAAATACATAACTCCTATCATACTGAATTGAACGGGCCAAATCTCCCAGGGTCCATAGTCACAGGGCAAGAGGCGGGCAGGCAGTCCTCTCCAGGCACAAGTGGCGAAGGGCACTTAGTCACAGTAATAAATCCATGAATAAAGTAGCAGGGAGGGAAAGTATCGAATGAATGGAGGGGGATTCTTCACATCACAGTATAGTGCTCTGCTATGCTGCTTGTGTGGAAAGAGTGGTGCCTTCAAGGTGACTGTTGGGAGGGATGGTGGGAAACAGAATTTTGCTGCAAGCCCTCCGTTACCTAAGTAGCATGATGGAATCACATTGAATACCTGTCTGTGCAGAATATGCTTGTGTCCAGCTATGCTTTCATTGATATCCCAGAGAGCAACAGCATAATACCGTACATGCGTAAAGAAGAGTGGACGGACCATAGAAAGACATGCCCCCACCTCTGTTTGGAAATGAGGATTTTATCCCTATGGTATGATCCTTATAACTCAGTTCATGTATCTCTAGTTTTCAGTATTTTCTCCACATGTCCTCTTGTATGGATATGACCAAGAGGGAAGCATATAGGGAGGAATGCTTACCAAATGTTGCACCTACCTGGCACTATAATTCTTCAGCTCCTGGTAACGTCATCTGTTGTGACCTTGCACAAGTTCAAGAGTATAAAACATTGCTTGTCTATTACATGACAGCTGATGGAAAATAGCAGTGAAGACTCCACTTCTTGCCAAATATTGACAAAGATTTGCAATTGTTTGCAATTGCAGGAAACAAGTTAGTCCCTACTTTGTCTCGTGTATATCTTTTTATATTATTACTATTTCAAAGAAATTCCAACAGCCAAAAATAGGCTTTCATATAGAAACTATCTTTATGGAAAGCTTAAAACTGCTTTGCAAAATACAGTATAATGTTTTCTTTTCAATATTATTTGAGGGTACTTGTGATATTCTAACACCTAAACATTAATTAAGATATATTGCATCTGTGTATATATCAGACCTGCTCACTTGCATGTTGAATTAAATATTTATACTACAGAGTTTGTGTTTTCACCTAAAACTGAGACCTCTATAGATATCCAACCTTTTCTCTAAGTAAAATGCATAGCAGATCACTGTCAGGAAGCCTATCTCTGGTGGACTTGACCCCTTGTTTCCCACTTTATGATTCTGTGCTCACCGTGCCACAGTGAGGCCTGCTTTCCTGGAAGGCTTACAGATATTTTCTGATAGTATTGACTGCTTGTTTTGTAGCACACCTTTTCATAGTACAGGTGTTGCCTTTTATGTTCCTCACTCCCAGGACTCAATTAGTCATGACCACCCTATTTACGGAGAGCTCATCTAAGCACTTTTGGTGTCCCAGAAACCTTGGTGATATTTTGTCCTGATCTTCTTCCTCCGTTATATACTTTGCTTACCTGACTATGTTTCTTCTTTCCTGCCCTTCTGTACCTGACCTATCCTGTTTAACTTCTGGCTGGATTGTTTTGCATTCCTTAGCTTGTCTGACTTCTATTCCTTGGCTTGGTCTGTGTTCCAGTCCCTGGCTTGTTCCTGACATTACTTTTCTTTGTGCTCCTGACTCTTGCCTGTCTCAACTACTCCTCCCATGGTCTGTAACTTTCTATTTATTTTGTCTTGTTACTTCATAGTTCTACCTTTACATTAGTCTGGACACTCTAAGGTCCAGTAATATGCGTCTACCCATCCCCCTGTCTGTGCCTTTGTTAGGTCACGGCCTCTCACCTTGCTGAGGATCCTCTAGCCATCCCTGACTATCACTCGCTGTAAATTTGCCAATGATGAACTTGATTGGATGTTCCAAATACCTAGAAAAGAGTTGACCTCTCAAAAAAGCTGAAAGATGGAGGTAATCTCTCATATTATCAGCCATTTCTCTGTCAGAGGTTACTAATAAATTCACGTCACGTCAAGCTTTTTGCAAGGCCGTGTACAACATATTTATTTTCTGTTTCATCACAACATACAGAGACAAAAAATCAATACTCTCTGATTAATAA